ATCGAAAACATAAGGAAAACCTGAGGCAAGCTGTGAAACGCTCGATGAACACGGAGCCCCTCCCCAACCAAAAGGGCTCCTTCTTCAGGGCCCCGGCCGCGCCCCAAGAACGCGCGCCCTGCGGGGTGGCCCCGCGCGCGCCCGCGATGGAGCTTCGGGGCCCAGCCAAATCCCCAAACATGGGGCCCTTCGCTGCGAATCCAGATCCCCAGCCCCGAGAGAGCGCCGTTGACCCGGCGGCCCTCGACGAGGTTAATCGCCAGCACCGCGGCCGGCAAGGAATGCGACGTTCTTCTGTTTGGAAGCTCTCTGAGAAAAACCCACCTGCCCCGCTCCTTCCGTCGCTTGGGCGTTGCGTAATGGGGGGGTCATAAATGGGGGGGCGGCGAGTGCGGCCCGAAAAAGTACCCAAACGGTACCTAAACGAGCCCCCTGGGGCTCTGGAGGGGCCCGAAAGGGGCACGAAAGGGGACCTTTTCTGACCCCCCCATTTGTGACCCCCCCATTACGCAACGCCCAAGTCGCGGCTTGGTTCTCGGCGCCGGGCACTGCGATGACGTGGTCTGGTGGCGCGCCCCCCCCCCTCCCCGCGACGCCGCGGCCTGGTCTAGAGCAACGTGCCAGCCGCGCGATCCGCGCTGATCGGCCGCGCGCTGCATGACGCGCTGCGAAAAAGCACGGGCGAGGATCAGCGCGGCGCCCGCGTCGCCCGGGACCGCGCCGCTGCCGGGGCGTAGCCGGCGGCGGCCCGTCTCATCCTCGAGCTCGCAGGTGCCTGTGTTGATGGGATCTTCGGTGAAATCTAAATCGTCGTCGTCATAGATCGAAGCTGCCACTGCTAGGACGGCCTGGCGGCGAAGCAAATAGAACTAGGGGCGTCGGGGCGCCGAAGATGAGGGGGTGTGCCACCTCTCTGCATCCGATAGCTTCCCATAGATTGGGCTGGCATGGTTGTTTCTCGTCGTCGACGTTTCAAGCCGCCGTGGACCCAATCGGGGGCGGTTATTCGATGGAGGGCACCCGCGTTGTAGATGCGGCCCAACGTGCGCATGACCATGGCCACCCGCTCGCCATCGCAGTTCAGCTTCGCCCCATCGGGCAACCGAGCTGTCTGCGCCGCGCGCCAACGCGGCGGCGCGCGCGCACTGCGCCGACGTGCCCGCAAGAACTTCTCCAGGAGCCCAGTTGCCTCACTCTCGGGAAGTTGGGCATCGCCGTGTCCGACCCCGATGCGAGCGCGAGGCCGTCGATCATTCGCCCACGCCGGATGGGAGAAAAGCCTGGAGATCTCGGGGGAGCATGACCATTCGGGCCAAGCTCTCCAACGCCTGAGCGGGCAAAACGTCGCGAGGAATAAACACATGGTCGATGCGACTCTGTCCGCGCTCGCCTACCAAAGAGGCCACGTTGGGACAGCAGGCGTTGGCAACGCATGACCCCAAACCGCGATCACAGGACGAATTGCCTTTGAAGCTGGACTGGTGCCAGCCCCGTGATCTCCAGCCACTTGACCATCAGATGGTGACACGGAGCCGCCAGTCATATCCATGTAGGGATTGGGTAGAGCGTGTTGGCTGTCCAAGAATTCAAAGACCTGGCTGCAACCATGAAGCCATGCAGTCGGTAGCCTTCTCATGAGGCGTTTTCTGCTCAATTACCCACCGGTCGGAAGAAGTAGGTAGAAACATGAAGTAGGAAGGCGGAAGAAGTAGATTGCGTTCGGGGCCGCCCCAAAAAAGCAACAGCAACAGCAATTACAAGAAGTAGATTACAAATTTTCGGGCCCTGTCTTAGCGGCGCGCAATAGCGCTAGGTCGCTCGGCCCCTCGCATGGCCCCTTCCCTCGCTGATTTCGGTTGTTCTGGCTTGTTTTCGTTTGTCCGTCGATCGCACTGGCAGCCTTTCGGTGGCTCGGCCCCTCGGCAGGCCCAATTCACTGGTTTTGTCTGCTTTTGTTTGTTTTCGCTTGCCCGTCGGCTGCACTGGTCGCCCCAGGCTCGCCCGCCGCCCCGCGGTCGCTTGGCCCCTCGGCTGGCCCCATTCCGCGGTTTTGTTTGTTTTTGTTTGTTTTCGCCGAGCCTGGGGCGACCAGTGCAGCCGACGGACAAGCGAAAAAAACAGAACAAACAAAACCAATGAATTGGCCAGCCGAGGGGCCGAGCGCCCGGTGCGGCGGCGAGCGGGGCGACCGCGCATGTAGGGCGACCGAGCCTGCGGGCGAGCCACGCGCAGCCGACGGACAAGCGAAAACAAACAAGAACAACCAAAACCAATGAATTGGGCCAGCCGAAGGGCCGAGCGCCCGCGGGGCGGCGGGCGAGCCTGGGGCGACCAGCGCAGCCGACGGACAAGCGAAAACAAACAAAAACAAACAAAACCAATGAACTGGGCCAGCCGAGGGGCCGAGCGACCGCGGGGCGGCGGGCGAGCCTGGGGCGACCAGCGCAGCCGACGGACAAGCGAAAACAAACAAGAACAAACAAAACCAATGAATTGGGCCAGCCGAGGGGCCGAGCGCC